CTCAGCGCATTCTCAGGCTACAAGACCAACTCTCCAAAACCCATTTCATTTCCCTACACTAACAACGAATGCGCCGGAACGAAAATTAAAAGCACAAGGCCGTTTACAACCACCTCGGAGGCGATGAAATCCTTAGGTGCACGTTTAACAAAAGGTGCACGGGGTCGGCATGCTGCAAGTTAGGACACGCCGACGGAAGACATCACGAAGACCCAAAGAAACGGACGGATGAGCCACATTCATCTAACGGAGCTAAATGAGCCCCACATCGATCTCCGGGTTTAATGACGTTTCTGTCAAAACACCGGCAAGGTTTTCACGGACGTGGACAAGCTTATTCTGAAACGCATACGGGGAGTCACAGACCCCAGCATAATGAAAGCGATCTTGGCCGAGAGGAAGAGGGGGGATCACCGTTCGATACCACTGTCACGGTAATTAAGGCAATGCCTGTGGCACCCCCGGGGGAGACGGATCAGTGGGACGGAACCCAGAACCCAGCCCACAAAAGCGCATCACTGACGTCTGATGGAGGCACACAGACAGTTCAGTGGAAGGAGGACGTTCACGGGCAGAAACTGTACCTCATCTAACACCTCACGCCTCGTCCAAAAATTAACTCGGAATGCACCACGGGATTCAATTACAATGCAAAGCCATAACATTTTGGGGGGCGGGGGGGGAAACTGGAGAAAATTTTCGAGGCCTGAAGCTAGGCAAAGAGCAGCAGGGCTCAGGGAAGGGAAATCGGGAGGCTGGATGGGCGGGAGAGCACGCCAGAACGTGGGAGACTCGTGAAACAGAGGAAAGGGCGAGCTTCAGACGGAGAGGAGGTGTTTGCAAACCGTGTCTACAATAGAGAAAGAACCTTGCGAACTCAGCAGCAAAGAACAAACGAGCAACCCAGTGAGAAAATGAGCCAACTGGGCTGACGGCTCGGAGCCTGGAGCCTGCTTCCGATTCTGTGTCCCCCTCTCTTTGCCCCTCCCCCGCTCATGCTCTGTCTCTGTCTCAAAAATAAATAAATGTTCAAAAAAAAAAAATTAAAAAAAAAAGAAAGAAAATGAGCCAAAACACGTAATTTGACATTTTACTAAAGACGATATATAAATGAGAAACGGTGCGTGAAACGAAGCTGGACGTCATCAGTCGTTGGGAAAACGCACTGAGCGCTCGGAGAGACAGCGCCGCACCCCCGCGAGGACGGCCACAGCGGATGCCACCCATGAGACACGCCGGCTCAGGCACGGACTGCCGGCGGGGTTGCAAAGCGGGCAGTGACTCTGGAAAACGGCTCGGCGGCTCCTGCTCTTAGACTCCCCAGCGAGCGCACGCTTAGACTTTCATCCCAGAGAAATGAAACCTCTGTGCAGACCCGTTCACAGACGCTTGCTTCACAGGAGCCACACACTGGGATCGAGCTGGATGTCCTCGGACGGACGCACGGTCAGGGGCACCCCCAGCGCGGGCACCGCTCAGCCACAACCAGGAGCCGAGGACCGAGGCACGCAGCGCCTAGAGGGCTCCCCGGGGAAGGAGCCGGGCCCCGAGGGCACGTGCCGTGTGGAACCGCTCGTACAACACTCGCAAGTGACAAGATTTCAGAAATCAAGACCCCGTGGGTGATGGCGCGGGGTCACGAATGGGGGCGAGGGCGCGAGGGGGGCGTGTGGCCGGAGCAGCAGGGGGTCCTCTCTGGGACGGACACACCACATCCAGGCTGGCCACGGGGGTGCCGGACGGGCGAGTCTGCACGCGTGACACGCACACGCACAGATCGGTACGGGCAGCTGTGGGAGACCCGACACGCGGACCGAATCCGTGTCGGCGTCCTGACCGGGATGTCACAGTTCAGCTTTACAGAACGTCACCACGGGAGGAAAGTGGGTAAAAACACACAGGATCTCTCCATTATTTCTTAAAACCGTGTGTGGACCTATAATCGCCTCAGTAAAAATTCCAATTACAAAGAACGTTAAACGCACACCTGCCATAAAATCCGGCCACTCCACCCCCCTCGGTCTGTACCCGAGAAAAATGCAAAACCGTGGCTTTACAATGACTCACAGGTGAATGTTCACGCCTGCTTTATTTGCAATCGCCCCGAACTAGAAACAACCTGAGATTTCACCAACAGGTGAGTGGATAAACCAGTTGTGTCCACGGGATGGAGTACGATTCAGCCAAGTACTGAGACCGGAGGCCACGAGGGGGGCTCAAGCCAGAGGGAAGGAAGAGAGGGCACAGCAGGATTCCGCTTACAAAACCCCAGAAAACACGGACGATCCGCAGTCAAAGAAGGCAGGTCGGCGGTCAGCTGGAGGCAGGGACGAGGCAGGAGGGACCTTCCCGGTGACCGTGTGTGTTCACGGTCCTCACTGCTGATGGTTTCGTGGGCGAGTGCACGGCAGGCTGACCAAAACGTATGCCTGCAACGTGCCCCGTTTATCGAGCCCCAGTAGAGCAGGAACAAAAGGACCAAGTGGCTGTGCGTACAAGTGAGAGGAAATATTAGGTACATGTGTTTAAATGCCCAGGTAAGGGGCGGGCAGGTGTGAGGTTAAGAAGAAGCAGAGGGGGGCGCCTGGGTGGCTCAGTCGGTTACGTGTCCGACTTCGGCTCAGGTCACGATCTCACGGTCCGTGAGTTCGAGCCCCGCGTCGGGCTCTGTGCTGACAACTCGGAGCCTGGAGCCTGCTTCGGATTCTGTGTCTCCCTCTCTCTCTCTGCCCCTCCCCCGTTCATGCTCTGTCTCTCTCTGTCTCAAAAAAAATAAATAAATAAACATTAAAAAAAAAAAAAAAAAAGAAGCAGAGAAAGGAATGAGCAGCCAGCACAGTCTCCACACAGAGGACAGACCCCCACGTCCACTCCTGGCTCGAGTCTGAGTCCAGACGCAGCCGCCGTCCCGGGTTTCTGGGGTTCCTAAATGCCAGACTGGAGCTGGTCTGAATCCCGGACCTTCAAGTCCCCTTCCCTGGGCCCCGGGGTTACCTGGCACTTCTGAGAAATGCAGCCAGGATGCACGGACATATCCTCAGCCACCCAACGTCTCCCGGCACAGGACACAGCTCCAGGGCGTGGCGGCCACCACGTGTGACCGCGAACATCCCCAGGAAGGGCCTCCCCCCCGCCACGCTACCTATGTCAGAGGCAGAGGCCACCAGCCAGTGGGCCTGCTCAGGACTCAGGGCCACGAGGCAGGACGGTCCCAAAACAAGAGAAGAACGGGGAGCGGGGTACCTGACCAGGAAGCAATGTGGGTGACACGTGAGGGCAGGAGCCGCGGGGACAGACTAACTGCGGAGCCCACAATGAACCCCAGACACGGTGAGAGGGACACAGGGGCCCTTCCGCAGAGCCATGCAGGCGACAGGTGCCGTGTCACCTAGAAGCACCCGCCAGGCAGGAGGCGGTGTGGGGCTGGCCTGGAGGGGACGGCGGCCTGGCCGGCGGGCGGTAGGGAGTCTGACCCACTGGAAGATTCTCCTGCCCCCTCGCCAGGCACCGCAGACCCGCGGGAGCCCCTTGAACGTGCAGCTCGCTCTGCGGGGATACCAAGCCTGGACCCCACGTCCCCGTCCCCGTCCTGCACGGGAGAAACACAGCTGCTTGGCGCCACGTGGCGGGCCAGGGTTTCCGCTCGGGGCGAGACCCCTGGAGAGCCCCTCCCCGGTGAGGAGAGGCTGTCCCTCAGCCCGAGCGGATGAGGTCCACCCCAGGACACCCGCTCCCGCAGCACCGCCGGCAAAGCACCCCCTGCGCACGCGGTCTCTCCCCGCGCATCCCACATCTTTGGGAGAACCTGCAAGATCGGGGCGTATTTGGCAGGTGGGGCTTTGCACAGGAAGCAGGGATGGTGTGTTTCTGGGTTAAGACCAGCTTGAGCGGAGACCATCCCTGTGGGAGGGAAGCACACAGACAAGTGTGTGCAGAGGCATGCCGCACATCGTGAAGCGCCATCCGGCCGGCGGTGGTTCCTTTGTCTGCAGGATCCCTCCCCAGGGGTCCTCGGGCCCCGTGAACGGTCCTGCGGACGGAGGGACGCGGACAACGAGCTCAGTTAACGGTTGAGGCCCGAGGGCAGGCCCCACGGACGCCAGGACACGGGACACGAGCAGGACTGCGTGCGGCACGAAGGGGGAAGGGTAAGAGGAACCCAGGTACACGCGTGCACGCACACACACGCACATGCACACAAGTTGCACACATGTACACACGGGCAACCAAGCACGCAAGTGCACACACGTACACACGTGCACACAAACACACGCATGTATACACGTGCACAGGAGCACACACGGACACACACGCAAACACACATACACGCATACGTGCACACACGCAGCTTCCGGAATGTAGGAGTGAGGGGGTCTCAGAGCCCAGCCCGGAGCCCCCGGTGCCTGCAGGCATGGGGTAGCTACTCTGAGGGCGGGGACCCCCGCTCCTGGCTCCCTGCAGGGGCTCCGTGCACCCGTCCCTGCCCGGGGTTTGCAGGGTCTGAGTCTGGCTCTGCGTGGGGCCCGGAGGCTCCTTGCCAGCCTCGGGGTTGAGGGCCCTGACCCCGTGGCTGAGCTGCCCCGGCCAGGTCACCCGGACAGAGCGGGTCGCTTGGGGAACCGCAGCAATAATTTTGTGGGGGGAGACGGCCAGGTTCTGCAGAGGCAGGGGCGCCTGCAGAGGCCTCCGGGGCTCCCGGGAAGCTGCTGGCCCGGCTGTGCACACCCGGGGTGCAGACGCACACTTCCGTGGAGAAGGAAAGCGGGGCCCGGACCCGAGAACTGGGCGCCCAGGCGGACCCAGGGAGGGGCTGTGGGGGGGAAGGGGCCGCGACGTGGACCCCACCAGTCTTGGAGGGCATCTGCCAGGGCTTCCAGTGCGAACAACGGTTACTTAGGAATAAACAGAGCATATACCCGATCTTCGTGAAGAGAATTGCACCCTGTGGGGCCAGGGCAAGGTGAGAGACGAGGTCTTTCCCAAGACGAGCACACAAGCCGTGGGGAGAACGGGTCACCGGTTTAGTTTAGCTTGCAAACACAGCTGCCCTCGGATCGGTCCCAACGGTATTTTCCTGGACGCGGTGGATTCTGGAGAAGCAAACAGATGACGGTTTCAGAGGACATCTGAGGGCTAAAAAGAGCGAGACAGAAGGCCTCACCTGTTCGACGTTAGAACGCTTTATAAAATAATAATTAAAAAATAATTAAAAATGCACGATGTTGGGAAACTGGGTAGCACGGAAGAATTCTAATCGAGTCCCCCCGCCCCCAACGCCAAAGCAGATGCCTCAAAGAGCTAAATCTCTTTTACAAAAGATAGAAAAGTTAGCACAAAATGAAATATTTATCATCCTCATGAAGAAAGACCGCTCCCAGCTTTGAAGCAAAGCAAGAAACCGCAGAGGGAAACACGGGCGGATGGCAGCGAGAACAAAGAGAAAACTCCTGCACGACAGGAGGAGACGCGGGGGGTGGGGGTCGCTGCCAGCCGGGGCAGACGGAGGGTCGATGGCTATGCCAAGCGAGGGCTCGTTACCGTTGGTAAGAGCGGGATGCGACGACCCCGCAGACGATAAGCACCGCGTCCGGGCAGGCTGTCCACGCGCGGGGCCCCCGCTGTGTCAGCGGCGCTGGGAAAACGCATAGCCCCGCCGGTCACCAGAGCAGTGGACGTCGCGGGGCCGGGCGCCACCTGGGAAACTGGCGGGAAGCACCCTCCCGAGACGCACACGCACAGCAAGCCGCCGTGGCGAGGTCGGGGTCGGGGTTGGGGGCGTGGGGTGCGGGTGAGCTCGGTTACTGGCAGGGGCCAAGCAAACATCGCCAGGCTGGACGCAAACGGTGTGCGGCAAGGTGAGAAATACTCGTCCCGTTTCTGTTATCAATGGATTTTTTCTTTGTATCTTCTAGCTGTTGTTCGAACCCAGGAAGACCATGGACGCTCACGCACAGCCCGCATGCTTCTTAAACCCTCGTTCGTGGATTTTCGCCGATTCCTTTGTCCACAATCTATACCAAGGTTCCCGCATCGTCTCCCTGCCCCCAGTTCATTTTATCTTGCCTGAATGAATTAACCAGAATGTCCAGACAAGACCGAGCTGAGCTACCTTAAGTCTGTTTAGGAACCTGCTTGGGTGTTCGTTAATTGCCGTTCGTTAATTGTCAGTGGGATGATAAGAGGAATTTATTTTTGTTCCTCGTTTTGAAGCTACTTTACCGGTGCTGATTCGTTTCTTGCTTACGTGTCACCCTGTGGAAGAATCCTTCCATCAAGCTTTTCTTTGTTCTAAAAGGTTGAACGCTACCGCGTTATTTTCCAGGTAGCCGTGAGCGTGCTTTCACACCCCCTACCTCATCCTGCCCGTTGAACGAATCATGAGAACCCCCCGCAGCGGCAGAGCGGGGGCCCCGCCCCGGGCCTCCCGCCCCCCGGCCCCCACGTGGTCTGATCGAGTCTTCGCTCTGAGGAGATGCGTCCTGGTTCACAAAGGCTTCAGAGCTGCCCGCAGCTGTGCGATGACCAGTGCAGGGGAGCAAATTCTGCCACCCCAGGGTCTGCCCCTCTGGCATACGGATTATCTTAAGCGGCCGGTTTTCAGGAAAACGCAGACACAAGAGCAGCTCCGGGAGCCCGCACGAAGCTTCCCTTCGGTAAGAGCCATTTCCACGTGTGAGGGAATCTCGGTCTGTAAGGGTGGCCCCCTGGCTGCGCTGGGAAGAAGGGGTGACTCCAAACCCCGGGAAACTCTAATCGGGGCAGGAGGCATGGACTCAAATCTGCATGACAGCCTCACCCTTGTTCACTGTGCTTCCCTGGCAACCTGCCATCACCGACTCCCTACCCCCAACCTTCTGTCTTTAGCCGAAGACGGTATTTAAGGTGACGGCTTTGGCCATTTCCCGGAGTTACCGTTTTCCTCGGTCTCTCGGGTATAAGCAGGAGGCACACGTGTAATCGAACTTTTGTCCGACTCGCTCCTGTCAGTCCGTCTCACGTCGCTCTGACGCTCAGACCAGCTGGAAGAAGCCTGAAGGGCGGAGGAAACTTCTTCCGCCACGACGCCGGCACACACGGGCAGTTGAAGGTGTTTTCGGATAGAACGCTTCCTGCCTCTGAGCATTTCAGGGCAGTGGTGGCTCAGCGGGTTTCAACGACGGTGGTGAAATAGTACCAAGCATCTGCAAGAGTGGCTCTTGATTTAAGAAACTTGCCAAGACCAGAGAGTTAATTGCCAACGATCTCTCTCTGAAAGAAAAACAAGATGCGTCTGGCTACAATTTCACTGAGGCCCAAGTACAAGTGGGGAAGGAGAACCCCACGCTCTGCACCCGGATATTCTTCTTGTCCTCCCTCCTGCGGCCGCCCTGGTGACAGTCGGTGCCTCCCGGGCCTCCCGTGGGCTCTCCTGCAGACAGCCGCCAAGCCTCCTCCGGAACCTGCCCGCCCCCACCCGCTCCCTGGCTGCTCTCTGCCGCGTGGGGGGGAGGACTTTTGTTCTGCTCCAATTAGCCAGAACAGTTAGTCCTCCCTGGGATCCAAGCAGAGCACAGGACGGCTCCTGGGAAGCGCCATTCCCGCTGCCGAGGCAGCTCGGCGCGAGCCGAGTCCCCACCTCGCCCCACCGTCCCGAGGCCACAGATGTCCGAAATGTTCCCGCAGACACGCTAGAATTCACGTCCGACCTGTGGGGCGGGTCCATTTGACAGCCCCCGTTTGACAGACGGATGGACGGATACATTGCCTGACATGCTCGCGGCTAAGAAACGGCAGAATAGAAATTTCCAAATGAGCTCCGACGTGATCCCAGACCCGAAGTTCTCTTCACCCCATCCCACTGCTTTCCTGTAAGAAATCTCCTCTTCTTTCAAGCCCGAACTAGAGATTTCAAACACCTACCACCGAGGGAGTTACGTGTGCATTTGTTTTAAGTAACTTGAAGCTTCTGGGCGTGGAGATCGTGTGGGGCTGCCAGGCTGGGTAGGGGACAGGGAATCCCGCGCTGCCCTCACTCCATTTTGGTCTAACTGTCACAAAGCGAGCCGAACCTCCTCATCCCTTCGGTGACCCATATGCGGAGCAGAGCGGTGGGTGGGCGGGCGCCAGAGGAACGGGGGCGGCCCGGACTCTAGCGGGGGGGTCGGCCGCCCTGCCCCCAGGAGCGTCTGCGGCTCTGACCGCCCGCAGGCCCCAGGCCCCGTGGGGCACGTGGAGACGGGTGGAGCCCTGCTCCGGGGGCCCAGGGGCCCTGCCAGGTGAGGAGAGGCTGAAGCGGGGGAGAAGGCCAGCTGACCCCGTTCTGGATGGGGGGAGGCCCTGGGGTACAGGACCTACACGGGACCAGGAGGGAGGGACAGATGTGGGGGCCGGAGAAGAGTGGGAACACCTGCCCGGAAGGCGGGGCTGTGGGTGGAGTCGAGAGGCTAGTTCACAAAACGGGTGCAGAGACGCTCCGCCCTGGGGGGAAGCCGGTGTCCCCCGGAGCTAGAGAAGTGACCGGCCCAGGGTCCCACAGCCTGTGGTGCAGAAGCGGGGAGAACCCAGCGAGGACTACAGCTCTTCCGATGGGCTGTGGTCACCGGAGCAGCTGTGCCTGCGGGCCCCCCCCCCCCAGCAGGTGGGGCAGGTCCGGGGCTCCACAGGTGACCTCACCCCCGGGGAGAGCTGCCGGCCAGGGTGGTGAGAGGCCCCGGGACCCTGAGAGCAGAAGAAATACACCCGGAAGTGGTCGCAATCGGTAGAAAGGAGCCCGCACACGCCCCTGCCCACCAGGGCCCCACTATCTCTGCCGGCAGCATAGACACACCCCGTGAGTTCTGTTCTAAAACGGCCTGTCCCTTCCCGATCCACCTCCCTCCAGCTAGCACCCCGTCTCTGCCCCCAGGACCCCCAACAAGGCTGGTGAGTGCCGTCTGCACTCGACGTCCTCACCTCCAGGCTCCCGTCCCAACCGCCCCTGGACCCAGGTTTGTCCTTGACCCAGTGTCCCCTACTCTCTGCTCTGCCCAGACCACTGCCAGGGCCCCAAACAAATAGCCCAAGATGGGCCGAGGCGGCGTGCAGATCATTTTGAGCTGAAAACAACCAAGGCCCAAAAAACTCAGAAAGAAAGCTGACCTCCCCCGAACTGCCTAAAAGTTTAGAAAAATTCAGGAAGAGCGCTATCTCTGTGGATAATGACATCATACTCTGAACGAGGCGGGGGGACGGGGAGGAGCCCAGCTGGCCCGTCTGATCAGGGTCCCCTGCGCCCCATCATTTCCGGACAGCCCAGCAAACACCTGTTACCAAACATTTGGTCTTTTTCATCTTCCTTTGAACGTCATCCCTTCCCTTTGACCTCCCGGAGCCCCGCCCCTTCTCCTCAGTTCCCACGGAGGCGCGCCCCATCACACATTCACGCGACCCCGTGTCCTCACCCCAGTCCTTCCCGGGCTCCCTGAAGGCTCCCTCCTCCCTGCACAGATTTGCAGATGGGGACACAGAGAGGGGGGACTCCAGGGAAGAGCCTCCGAGGGACAAGCCCCACTCGTCCCTCCGTAACCCCCCACTTGCTTAATTCCGCATTTAGCCATTCTAATTAATGAGCAAACATTCTTTGCAAAACAATGTTTAAACGCCTTAGGATTAATTTAATCAGATATTTAATTACCCTGTAATTAATCATCTAAGCTTAATAAATTGAGCCTGGATCTCTGGGAGTTGGGTTTGTCCCAATGACTTCTAAAATAAATACGTGCTGGAGGCGCAGACTTCCTGCTCCCACTCAGAGCCCGGGGGGAGGAGGGACCGGTGGCCCAGACGCCCTGCTGCCCCCGCCCCCAGCAAGTGGCCTGAGCTCAGCCTCTGTGGGGAGCGGCCAGTGGGCCGAGGGGCAGGGCTGGGAGCACAGCGCTCTAGGCCCGGGAGGCCGGGTAAGCTGGCAGCCGCGAGACGGTCCCGCCGTCCTAACCGCGTGCGTCCGTGCACACCGAGTCTGCCCTGCAAGCCGCACCGGCTTCCCTGGTGGCGTGGGGAGGGCGCCTCCTGCCGGTCTCCCCGGGCCCTGAAACAGGCTCAACGGGGTCTCAAGGAGGGGCCAGGGAGCTTG